TCATTTTTTAAACAACATAAAGGATGACTATACATTTGGATCTCAGCAGCTGGAATACACAGAAATCCAAATGACTACATTTGTGGAAAGAAATGGTGGAAAAGCTCCATAACATCAGCCAAAACAAGGCCAGGGGCAGACTGTGAAACAGATCATCAATTGCTCATATGCAAAGTCAGGCTGAAGCTGAACAAAATTAAAAGATGTCCATGACAGCCAAAATCTGAACTTGAACATATATTTCCTGAATTTAGAGATAATCTCAAAAGATATGATGAATTAGATACAAATGATCAAAGGCCAGAACAATTGTGGAATGACATCAAGAACATCATACAGTAAGAAACCAAAAGCTTATTAAGAACACAAGAAAGAAGGAAAAGACCAAAATAAATGTCAGAAGAGACTCTGAACCTTGCTCTCCAGTGTAGCGATGCTAAAGCAAATGGAATAAATGAGGAAGTAAAAAAGCTGAATAGAATTTTTCAAAGAGCATCTCAAGAAGACAAAGTGAAGCATTACAATGAAATGTGCAAAGACCTGGAGTTAGAAAACCAAAGGAGAAAAACATGCTAAGCATTTCTCAAGCCAAAGGAGCTGAAGATAAAATCCAGCCTCAACTTAACGAGAATAAAGGATTCTATGGGCAAAATATTGAATGATGCAGAAAGCATCAAAAGAAGAGGGAAATAATACACAGTATCACTGTACCAAAAAGAAATGGTCAATGTTTAATTATTTCAAAAGGCAGCAAATGATCAAGAGCCAGTGATATTGAAAGATACCCAAGGTACACTGAAGACATAGGCAAAGAACAAAACTCTGGGAGATGATGCAATACAAATTGAAATCTTTTAACAAATTGATGCCTCACTGGAGGCACTCACTCATTTATACCAAGAAATTTGGAAGACAGCTACCTGGCCAACTGATGGGAAGAGATCCATATTTGTACCAATTCCAAAGAGAGGTAACCCAACGGAATGCAAAAATCATTGGCCAATATAATTAATATTGCATACAAGTAAATTTTGGTAAACATAATTTAAAACTGGCTGCAACAGTACATTGACAGACTACTGCCAGAAGTTCAAGATGCATTCAGACAAGGACATGGAATGAGAGATATCAATGCTGATGTCAGTGGGATCTTAGATGGAAGCAGAGAATACCAGAAAGCTGTTGCTGTGAAATGCTGTTGAGGTAGTTCTGACTTACAGAAATCTTGTATAGGGTTTCCAAAGAGCGGCTAGTAGGTTTGAACCACCGAACTTGTGGTTCAAAGGGACCTTGTGGTCTTGACTATGTAAAGGTATTAGATTGTGTGGATCAAGACAAGCTATGGAAAAATTGTGGAAAATAAGTATTCCAGAACACTTAATTGTGCTCATGAAGAACCTGTATATAAACCAAGGGGCAGTTGTTCAAACAGAACAAGGGAACATTGAATGTTTTAAAATTAAGGAAGGAATGTGCTATGGTTGTAATCTTTCACCATATTTATTCAATCTTTATGCTATGCATATAATCTGAAAAACTTGATTTCATGAAGAAAAACATGGCATCAGGTTGAAGGAAGACTCATTAGCAACCTGTGTGTGAGATGCAAATGATACAACCTTGCTTGCTGAAAGTGAAGAGGACTTAAAATACTTAATGATGAAGATAAAAAATAACTTTTGGTATCGATAGCCTTTGGTATCGGTTGCATCTCATTGTAAAGAAAACAAAAATCATCACTACCGTACCAGTACGTAAAATCAAGATAAATGGAGAATAGATTGAAGTTGTCAGTGACTTCATTTTTCTAAGATCAACCATCAACATTCCTGGAAACAGCAGTCAAGAAATCAAACGACGTATTTTGGTAGGAAAATCTCCTGTACAAGCCCACTTTAAAGTGTTCCAGAGCAAAGATGTCAATTTATGGAATAAGGTGAGCCTGATACAAGCCATGGTATTTTCAATAACTTCATATGCATGTGAAAATTGAACACTGAATAAAGAAGATCATAGTAGAATTAATGCATTTAAGATTTGGTGTTGGAGGAGAACATTATAAGTACCCTGGACTGGAAAAAGGAAAAAACAAATCTGTGTTGGAAGAAGTAGAGACTTCTATGGAGCCAGAATGCTCCATAGAAGCCAGGATGACAAGACTTTGTCTCTCACACTTCATACATATTATCAAGAGAGACAAGTCTCTGGAAAAGGAAATCATTGTTGTAAAGCAGAGGGTCAGTGAAAATGAGGAAGACTCCCTACTGAGATGGATTGGCACAGTGGCAGCAGCAGTGGGCTCAAGTTTAAGGATTATAAGGTTGGTGAGGTACTGGGCAGTGTTTTTTTTTTTCTGGTATGCATACGGTCATTATAAATTGGTACTGACTCGATAGCACTTAACAACAACAGGAACAACAAAGGTCTCAGGTAGCGTA